CCTCTTTGAACCATCCCATTTCCTCCTGTCTCCACCCCAAAGAGTTCTCCTGCCTCTCTCCAGGCTGTCAGGAAGGAGGCTGGGTGTGTTCCAGAGGAGCAGATCCTGACTCCAAACCACAGGTTGGCTCTGCAAGTTCCTGCCGAACCAAACCAGCACATCAGAGAATATTTTAAAAGAAAAAATGTCTTTTTTTTTTTTTTCTTGCCTCAGAATGATCAAGGTATCAAGACAGCAGCTGTTTGAAAGGAAGACTAGAATTTACAATCCCCCATAAATCATTTATGATTGCAAATGAAATGTTGGCAATATAACCACGTTTAAAGAAGAAAATTACTCTGTGTTTCTGCACCAACTTCCAGTCCATGACTGGTACCTTTGCAAAGCCCCAGGAAGTTACTGAGAGGAAGATTAATTTTCCTTACTGTTTTTACACCACTATGAATTCAGGAATGGTTCATATTAACAGCACTAGGAAGCAGTAAAATAAAATATTCAGAAGAGTGAGACAGTTCTGGAAGCTGTGACTTGCTTGTGGCTTGTTTTCCTCCTCAGAGACAGATGTTCTTCAAATGATGTGAAGAAATAAAGGACATATTGAAATACATATATGAAATTATATATTTTAAACCATGTTATCTCTCTGTGGCTACACAAAACTCACCTCAGCAGGGTATCAGCTTCAAAAGGCCGAGGGAAGCCCAAATCCTTTTGTAAAATCAGAAACTTGCCCTGAAACAATCTACAGCTGTGGTGGCTGTGCCAGGTCTGCAGGGACATCAGGTCAGCATGGCATTTATAATGCTGCTCATCACTTAAAATGCCATCCTAAAAGCTGGGAGTGAAGCCCATTGCTCCTCAGCATTCCCTGCTCATCTTTGATTAACAAGAAAGGAAAATTGGAAGGAAAAAAAAGCACAGAAATTCAGCTTTCCATGGACTCTGTCCAGTCCCACATAAAACAGAACATGCAGTTCCCTGATCACAGGAGGTGAGTGCTCAGACAAGGAGTGGTTTACAACCAATGCTTAAATTACCAGTGTCCAAATACCACTTAAGCTGTTTTAATTTGGCCCCTGAGAGCTTTATACAGGTGCTTGGTTCATTACTTGTGGCCTGTGAATCACAGTTTGGGTTAAACTAAGAAGGGGGGAAAGATAAGATTTAGCATCATCTTTTCCTTCTGCTGAAAGGGGATTTTTCTCCTCTTGCTGAGTAAGAAAACAAGAAATCCTCCAAACTTTTCAATGGATGGACCCAGAATACATTCCCAGAATACAAAATTCTCAATGGATGGACCCAGAATACATTCCCAGCCCCTTTGACTTGCCTGATCCTGGAGACAGGAGCAAAGCCTGGCTTTAAAGGGTGTTTAAAGGACTAGGAAACCACACAGCTCCTGTGTGTGCCTGCCAGTGTGTGCCCAGCTCACCTGCAGCCCCATCCCACCTTTCAAAGGTGATTTCAGCACTGTAAAACCCTCACCTGAAGTTCAGGTTCTGTTTTACCCTTGGCCTTGAAGGAGGAAAAAAACCAAACCCCGAACAAAACCCCCACATTTTTCTACAGAGTTGCAGAATCCCAGAATGGTTTGGGTTGGAAGAGACCTTAAAGGTCATCGACTCCCACCCCCTGCCATGGGCAGGGACACTTCCCACTAGCCCAGGTTGCTCCAAGCCCCATCCAACCTGGCCTTGGACACTTCCAGGGATGGGGCAGTGAAGAATTCCTTCCCAATATCCCATCTAACCCTGCCCTCTGGCACTCTGAAGCCATTCCCTGTGTCCTGTCACTCCAGGTCCTTGTAAATAGTCTCTCCCCCTCTTCCTTGCAGGCTCCCTGCAGGCACTGGTAGGGCACAATTAGGTCACCCCAAAGCTTCTCTTTTCCAGGCTGAACAATCCCAGTTCTCCCAGACTTTCCCCACGTGACAGACTTTCCATCCCTCTGATCAATTGGTGCCCAGGCCCATGTGCTCCTTGTGGACCAGGGGAGGTGACAGGCTTGTGCAGGGACACCAAGGCAGACACACGCTCCGCTCTCGCGGAATTTAAGGAATTTTTCAGGTTAAAAAGCCGGGAATTGGGGAGGGAATGGTTGAGCACAGGGGGCCGTGCGCCCTCTGCCGGCACCGCCCGCAAGTGCAGCCGACCCGGGAAAGGCAAATTTAACCCATTTTAACCAAATTTAAGTAATTTTAAGGGTCCACTTACCACCCCCTCTACGGCTTTAGGGCTTCCCAAGCTCCCTGCTGCCTCGGCTGAGCTCGTTCTGCTTCATACAGGACAGGAGGCACATAAATAGCAAAGCAAAATTCATCAGGCAACAGCATCGCCTTCTCCTCCAAAACCCTTTACAAAGGTTTACACTTTTACTTCAAAGCCTGAGGGTATCTGACAATCTGAGCGCTGGGATCAGCAACCTGCAGCCTTCACACACAAGAAATGTGGTGTCCCTGTGTTAAATAACAGCAAAGCATTCTCCTGGCTGCCTTTTTCTGCCTTTTTACTGAGCTTGCACGTAGACAGAAGAACTTAGAACATGAACAAAGCACGTCGAGATTCTGGGGAAGAAATGTGAGACACAAACATCGTTTTTCTGGACTGATGTTTAGAAATCTTTAGCTACTTCAAGACTGATATTTAGAACTCTTAATTCATTTTACCTCCTAACCAGGGCCCAGCTGGGGCTGTTGTGACACACCAGAGACACACCTGATGGTTGCAGCCCTCTGGCACAGGCCCAGGGATATTCCTCTCCACACAAGCCATGTCTTGCCAAAGCAAGGCACAAGCATTTCCCTGGCAGGATTTGGTGGTGCACAAACCCTTGTCCAGAACTGCAGCCTGAATTCACACCTAGGTTCTATTTTTGAGACTTTCCATCAGGGCCAAGTGACAAAACACAAGGTGATCAGTGGCAAGTGACTCCTGGTAACAAGGATGATCCAACCCTGCTATGTTTGTTCACAGAGAACAGGAGATTGGTCTTTTTACAGTGCTTCTCATCCTTCTCATCTCACAGAAAAGCAAGCCCTTCAGTGGACAAAATTAATGACATTTTGGGCACAGAGCTTTTTAACCACCAAATTTGCCCTTTGAACTTGGCAGCTCAACACACATCATTTGTCAGCAGCAAACCCAGCTGAATGCTCTGTAAGTTCTAAGCTGTGGAGATTTCCCAGTCCAATTCCTTTGCTATAGAACACGTCCTTCAGCAGACACATGTGGCAGTGCAAATATACCACGCAGACCAGGGTTAGGAGGCATTTTGTTGCCAAAAATCTTCCAATTTGCATTTCTAACATCTGTCCCCGGGCAAAAGTCGGCGGGATTTATAGAAGAAAAACACAAAAGCTGCCCAAATGACCCAGATAACTTCCTGAATCACAAACCATTACTAAAAAGTGCAGGGTGGCTGTCTTTATGGATTCCATGGATAGTAGGATACACGTTCTTGTTTTCCACCCGCCACTGGACTAGAAATCTCAGTTCCCAGTTCAAAGCTGTGCATGGACAGGGTGAAGTTTGCTGGCCCTGTTTTCGTGTTTTGCAGCCCACTGGTTTTACCCACAGATCTGATGTCGTGCAACCACATTCCTGGAAGGCATTTCCCTACTTCCAAGTCCATTTCCTTTCTCATATCCCCCTCAGTAAAGCCAAATATCTTCACTGTACCTCTCCATCGTCCTACTCCGGTGTGTTTTCCACAACAAAGAGGAGGATCTCAGCGCTGGGAACACGGATCCACTGGATGCAATCATTCTACCCCTGCTCTTGCACACATTGTGAAACCTGCAGCACTCACACACCTGTGAAAAGGTTTATATTCCAGCCCCAGGACACAACCCAGTTCTCAACACACCGAGCGGCAGAAACCGAACACGAAACCTTTCCAGCGGCACTTCCGCGCCTTGTGAAACGCCCCAGGATTCAAGAGTGCCATGGAAAAGGACCAACACACATCAACTGAGAGGTGGAAACAGCTCAAGGAGGTAGGAAATTCCAGTTCCCTGGAAGCCTCTCCGGGATTTGAACATGAATTATTCATGCTACTTTTGAGGCAGCTTTTATCTACGGCTTGATAAATTCAGCCTCACTTATCTCCGCTAACACGTCACGTCACGTCTCTCACCACAGTTTGAGTCACTTGCTGGTGGCACCTCAAATGATCCAATTTGGAGTTTACGGATCCTATAACGTCAGAGATCAACTGCTGAGGTGCTGTGCTGGTCAGCAGGACTGGTTCTGTCAGACAGGCAGTTTCCCCCCAAATGATGCTGAACTGTGGGAAACCTTTTGCCACATCTCACTTAGTTTTTCATCAGTTAAATTTCAGAGGTGAAGAAGTTGTTTTAACTTTACTTCTGAGTGATGAGCCAAGCCAGGAATCCAAAGTGTCATAAATCTCATTCTCACTCCTGTCTGGAAGCTGGTAATTGGTGCAAGATAAACAAAGTAAACAAGCTGTTCAGGTAAGTGCTCCTGCTGAAAATGCACCAGGAAGTGCTTTTTCCAGCTGAGCATGAAGGTTAAAAACACAACAAATGCAGGGCAAGAATTAAGAGTGAAGTCCAAGCCAAGAAGCTTGAGAGAGCACCACTCCATAAATCCCTGTTAGTACCTAAACAAGGCAGGGATTTGACTCTGAGGGACCTTAGGGGTCACCTGAACAGGCAAGACAAAATGTGCAGAGCCTTCCTTTGCCCCTCCACCGGGACAGGTGGAATCCTGAGGGCAGCCTGGAGCTGGAAAGTCTCGGAAGGAAACTCTTTGCTTCCAGCAAGATGAATAATACACCTGTTCCCTACTTGTGAGCAAACACTATGAGGGAATAATTAGAACCTATCTGACCTGAAACCCACATGCCCATTACTGTGGTATTTTTCCACCTACTCCAGGTGAAACAGAAGATGGGCTGGACCTGGAAGGGGAGGGGTGGAGTGGCAGCACAAGATGCTGATTTATAAAGCACTGGCAAACAGTGCTCTTTCTCCACAGGCTTTGGACAAGGAGCTCGTCCTGCCTGAAGGATGCCAAGGTGGGAGCAGGATTCCAGCTAACACCTGCTGGTCGTCTGAGAGGGACCTACCACCTCCTGCACTCCAGCTGCTCTGAGCCACTTCACCTCCAGCTGGGCTTTGGCTTTTCATCCAGAGACTTTTTCACTCCATCAGGAAAGGAATAAACTCACCAAGATGGTAAAGGTGAGTACAGTTGCAAGGGATCACCCCTCCTGCATTCGTGTTTCTTCTTAAGGAAAAGCATGAATTTAAGTTTTAATATGCCACTGTATGCTGTGAATACAAGCTAAGTGAAAAATTGAATTAATACCAGACACTGTTGGGAGTGATCACTTTGGAGAGGGGAGAATTCTAGGACTGGCTGGTTTGATAATCCACAGGTTCATGAGCACTTGCAAGTGCCAAAATCTGAGATTTTATGAAAATGTGCAGGTTAAAGGTTAAACATAGATCATGCATGGAAGTGATCAATAGATTCTACTAACTTCATTAATTTTCTTTATTATGCTCTTCCAACTGCTAAGTTCTCACAGTAGAGAGCTGTTTTCATTCTCTCCTGGTCTCTCTCCTTTATCGGGATTTGAAAAGCTGAACAGATTTTTGGGTGGGATAGTTAAAGAGAGGAGGAGAAGGAGGAGGAGGAGAAGGAGGAAGGCGAAGAAAAAAATCCCAATAGATAAAGCAGACTGTGAATCTTCAGCATGGTTGAAAGAAATAGAACCTCTTGTAACAGACATGTCCCTTCTCTGGGATATTCATCACCAAACTCAAGTACTCTAAGAAAGGGATTTCAGCCTTTTAAATCCCCAAACTACTCCCCAGCTCTTTGCTTTTCCCTTCCTCAAGATACAGTGCCAAGACTTGAATATTCCAGCAGTTAAAAGGTAGCTCAGGGTAAGATGCCAATTTTCAGTTCAGAACAGAATTAAGTAATAAGATACCCCAATTATTTTTTTTTTCCTTGCTATTTCCATTACTTGAGCTCTCTGCTTTGACTCCCCTGACCCTCTGGTGCTTAATCCATAAGGAAGCCTCCAGAATGGGGTCACCCAATAGTCCTTCCAAGGCCTGGCATGTAGTTTACAAGATAATTAGGAACTGGAACGTTATGATTACAGGAGCTGGTAAATTGGTGGCACAGGAAGTTTGCCCTTCAGACCACAGTGGTAACTTAAATTAGGAAACAGCACAACCCCCAAGTTATCCCTGAGAGCAAAGCATTATCTGAGGTTCAGCAGCATCCTGGCAAAAATAAGGGAATATTCTGCTAACTCCCTGTTAGTTCTGAGCTCTGTGTGAGAAGCAGCAGACTGGCTCTCATGTGGTGTTTGCCTCATCTCTCACTTGTGATTGAGTGTAAATATAAATATGTAAATGTTAACTTTAATTAAAAAATTAACTCTCAAAGTTATGTGTCTAAAAAGCCCCAGGAACAAGCAAGTTCTCAGTGAATAAATTTTCCCTCCGTTTTCCTGTTGCAAATCTTTTGCTTTTCCACTGATCTCTTCTTGGAGCTGACAAAGGACTGGATGGTTTTCACTGCCAGTGGTGGGAGCCTGGGCAGTGTTTCCACACCTGGTGTTGGACCATAAACTGCTAAAAGTGTTGCACATCCCTAAAGGAATCTCTGTAATTTACATTTGCTGAAGTCCTGCCCATGATCACTGTAACACACACTGGGTGGATTTCAGGATAGGACAGGAACTAACACTTTGAGCTGCCAGGAGAAAGGGACAGCAGTAGTTTGTAGGTTGTCTACAAAAAGCAGATATGTCAGAGTTTGACTTGGTTTTTGTGGTCTTCCACAGAAAAGGTCTGATGTTTACTCAGTTGAGATCTATGGGACAAAAGATCTACAAAAAACAGAGATTGAAGATGAAGATGAGAAGCACAAAGACTCAAAAGGCAACAAGAATAAAAAGAAGACAGAGGAACTTAAGAAAGAGCTGGACCTGGTGAGTGTTGCTGAGCTCCCATTACACCTGTCAATGAAATCCAGGGAATGAAAATCCTTACACAGGGAAGGATTTGTTTCCTCACACCCCTGGAGTGTGCCAGGAAAGTGTTGGGCTAGATTAATACCTAAAATGAAAGATTGATTCTGATTTAATTAAGTCACCAATGGTACAGAACATTATCTCCCCAAAAAAAGGAGTTATTCCCCAGATGGAATAACTGTCATCAGTATTTCCTGACAACTGCCTCTTGCACAGGCAGCCAGGAAACACAGGGAAAGGATGTGCTTTCCAGCACATCCAAAAGCATGTCTCAGCTTTAACCCTGGGGTTTTTCCCCCAAACTAACTGCACTGTGCTCCAAGGACACTGCACTAAGCTCAAGAAACCTGTGTTTTCCTTCTGGCTTGCTCCCGACCTGCTGGCTGCTCTTGGAAATGTTGCTTCCTCTCCACACATTCCAGTTTCCCAATCTGAAACATGAGGGTAATTATACTGACCTCTTTTTGGAGCTGCTTTGAGAGCAGCTCAGAGGAGAGGCTTTTTACAGCCTGGATGGTATTTCAGAGGGAAAGGACCCAAAAAGGGGCCACTGGTTCTGTGATTCTGTGATAAATTTACCCATCATGTGTCCATGATGTGCCCAGTACCAGCTAAACAGTTCCCAGGCCGCTTTATCTTTGCCACCAGGGGATGTAACATCACCCTCCTGTTTCTAAAGAGAAACCAAAGCACAGACAAGTGAATTGACTCATCCAAGTGCCCATGAATCACCCCGTGAAAACAACTGTGAGATCTCTCAAATTCTTGGCTTCCAAATCTCAGCTCAGCACAGGATATAATTAGGCCAACGATACCACAGAGGTGTCACTGCAGGCAAAGGAGAAGAGCTTTGAGATTTCCCTCTCCCACACCCTTTTTAACTGTGGTTAAAACCTGTTGCCTCTCTCTGTGAGACTTGCTGGTGGATAATTTCACATCCCCTGCCTCGGCAATCCAGGGCAGAGATTGTTGTCACACGTTTTCTGCCACTGCCTGTGGTGCTGAGCCTTGTAGCACACACAAAGAGGAGTTATTTATCTAAAAGAAGCACAGACACTTGTGGCAGGCAGGATTATCACGAGCACCCCATCCTGTTCTTGTGACAGATTTGCTGGAGGAGGGAGCTATTTACAAAAGCACTCTGCAAATCAAAAGAAAATATCGTCTTCCAGTGGAAGATACTTTGCTTACCAATGTGCAGATTGTCTGTTAATGAAAGTGGGGTGTCACACAAGCAACTGGATCCGTGGTCCCAGATCCCTGAGCGTTCTCCAGATGTCAAAATTCAAATTTCAGCTGGCTGACATTCTGCTCACTCCCATTTTCTCTCTCTTTTGGAATTCAGGATGACCACAAACTCAGCGTCTCGGACCTGGAGAAGAAGTATGGCACAAGCATCGACAAAGTAAGTCCATGGGGCATCATTAAGGAACTGCCTGAATCAGCTGCCTCTGGGCTCCCCAAAGCTTCCAGAAGCAGCAGGAAAACATTAATAGATGTGTGTGGGTGCCTACATCCATGCTTCCAGTAAAGCCTAAACCAGCAAGTCCATGTGCAGCTCTGACCTGGATTTGAAGTGGAGTTTCCCTCAAGTCTGAAAAAGGCTGATCTACTGTTTTGGAATCAAAATCCCTGCACAAAATGTGGCCTCAGGGTTTGCACCAGGATCTCAGCTTTTCTAAAGCTTTTATCTGATATTTTGATTTCACTGCAATTCATTTCTCACTGGCAGTGCCTGTAACAACTTATAGCAACAGTCTGCATGGGATGACTTGGTTTTGGAGGAAATATTACATTTGAGAAACTGTGCACCTGAGTCCCTTTGACATCTGACATTTGAGTATCAAAGCACTGCAATGTGGGCAAAGTACAGATAAGAATTTCAAGAAACCCCTGGGCTACAAACATCCTGTGGAAATACAGAAACAGCAGCAAAATAAGTGATGTGCGTTTTTCCCTGGCTTTCCAAACACTTAGTCCAGGTGTACTTGATTTATAACCACCAGGATAAAAACTCCTGTTGGAAATGGCCCCAGATTCAGTGCTCCAGTAAAGAAATATCTGGGGTTTTTTAGAGCCACTTTGAAACCAGAAAGTTTGGGAATCAAGGTTGCGGGTCACGGCGGCTGATTTGTGACACAAATAACACAGAACCAGCAGCCTGTGCATTTTGTTCTGAGACAAAATAAAATGTGTTTTTCTCTGTGGCTTCATGTTAAACATGTCATTTCCTTCTGCAGGGTCTCTCTAGTGCCAGAGCAGCAGAGATTCTGGCTCGGGATGGCCCCAATGCCCTCACTCCTCCCAAAGCCACTCCTGAGATCGTGAAGTTCCTCAAGCAGATGGTGGGAGGGTTTTCCATCCTCCTGTGGATAGGAGCTGTCTTCTCCTGGATTTCTTTTGCCATCCAGCTCTACCAGGCAGCTGAATCACCCTTTGACAATGTAAGTAGATGAATAACCACAAAGTGAGTATTTGACCCTGTGACAATCTAAGTAATTTAAATACTACACAGTTACTCAGTAACTACAAGGAGGCCTCTTACTCTTGAAGGACTCTCCCTCTACAACTGAACACTTCTGATAAAACCTCAAATACCTGTCATACCACTTCTGTCTAGAGAGTAACTATGCAAAGGTTTTATAACCACTGGGTATAATTGCAATACTTGAGTACTCACAAGAGCAATAATGAAGTCCACAAAGAACTCCAGAGTCTTTGACTAATTCCCTTATGAGTTACACTCTGCTAGAAGTATGATTTGTTTGGGCTTGTGTCAGGTACAGTTTAGAGAAAGCTTTTAGAGACATGGGAACCTTGCTATTAAAAGCCCTTTTTATACTCAAAAAGCTTTACTAGATCACTTGCAGGGCAACACTTGAAAGCTCTTTTCTTAAACTGTCTTTTAAACTGACCAATACCACATTTTTAAAGTCTGCTGAAGCAACACATAACTGTGATTTATTCCAGCAGAGGAATTGCTGAACACTTGTCTTGAATTAACTGGATTATGCCTTTTGTTGATCAGCTCTACCTTGGAGTGGTCCTGGCCCTGGTTGTCATCCTCACTGGAATCTTTGCTTACTATCAAGAAGCCAAAAGCACCAACATCATGGCCAGCTTCAGCAAGATGATCCCCCAGGTGAGAACCACCGAGATGAGAGTTCACCCCAACAACGCTCCTCGGAGCAGCAGGAGCACAACGAGCCCAACCCGACTGCACCCCTTGGCAGGAGGTGTAGAGGGTGATCTTTTTGTCACACTTATGTCTTTCAGCAAGCTCTTGTCATCAGAGATGCAGAGAAGAAGGAGCTGCCAGCGGACCAGCTGGTGGTTGGAGACCTCGTGGAGATCAAGGGCGGGGACAGGATCCCAGCGGACATTCGCCTCATCTCCGCTCAGGGCTGCAAGGTGAGCTGGGCTGGGAAGGGCACAGGGAAAGGAGGAAAACAGGGTTTAGGGGCTTGGATTACACAGAAAGGATTTGTACACGACCAAACAGGACTTGGAAGGGCACAGGGAAAGAGGGAAAACAGCGTTTAGAGGCTTTTATTACATAGAAAGAATTTCTGCACGCCCAACAGGACCTGTTAGAGCTCTAATAGATATAATCTGGTTAAATCAGAGAGCAAAGCTATGCTGTGATGCTCATCTAGGACTAACATCTCCACTCCCTGAACATCAAAAGAAGCCATTAGGTCCATACCACATTCTAGCAATGCTCTTTGCCAGGACAGAGGCAGATACACCAATACATTGTTAAGAGCCTCCACAGACCCGGAAAGAAGGTTTTCAAACCATGTTTTCTTTCAGGCTTCTACTGAAAATCCCTCTGACAGACACACAGCATTGACTGAACTGAATTCCCACAGAAATAGCCTCTGTCAGTGACAGCAGAACTCAGAGAAAAGGCACTGAGAGATTTTTGTGGCCCTGTCACTGATTATTAAACGTGCTGCCACCTTGCCTTCTGGGCCAGATATCACTGTGTGTTACTAACCTTAACATGGGCATGTCTCCATTTCATTAAAGGTGGACAATTCTTCACTCACAGGGGAATCAGAGCCACAGTCCCGCTCCTGTGACTTCACCCACGAGAACCCCTTGGAGACCAGGAACATCGCCTTCTACTCCACCACCTGTGTGGAAGGTGGGTACAGAGACAAGGACCTCCAGAAAGGGTCCTGCTAAATCACTGAAGCAATTCTGCTGCAAGGAACTCCAGGGGGGTTAATTGCTCACAAGAAACTACAATCCCAAGCAGAATAAAATAAAACCTTAAGCACTGGGTCACAGTATCAACCAGCAGGGCTTTGTCTGAACAGATATCCTGATTATGCGTGCAACAATCAGTTAATTGTGGCTTCCTTGTGGGTTTTCCATCAATAATCCTTTGGAATGTCAAGCTGCAGGTGCCTCTAAGAACCTGTCTGTCCTGGAGCTGACAGTTCTCCCTGTCTCTGCAGGCACTGCCACTGGCATTGTCATCAACACCGGGGACCGCACCATCATCGGCCGCATCGCCTCGCTCGCCTCGGGCGTGGGCAACGAGAAAACCCCCATCGCCATCGAGATCGAGCACTTCGTGTTCCTGGTGGCAGGAGTGGCCGTGTCCGTCGGGGTGCTCTTCTTCATCATATCTGTCTCCATGAGGTACCAGATTCTGGACTCCATCATCTTCCTCATCGGCATCATCGTGGCCAATGTGCCCGAGGGACTGCTGGCCACAGTGACGGTGAGTCCGGGCTCGGGTGCCACTCCAGTTCTTGTCTGAGTTGTCTTTGAAAGAGGGGGTTGTTTCTTTTCCCTCATGAAACTGAAAGGATAAACACTTCATTTGGGAATTCCGGCATAACCGAGTCATTAATCCTAAAACCAACAAACCAGTCTGAAATGAGGTTCTTCAAGGACCGTTCTGCCTCAATCGCTGACCAGCAGAATGACACGACTCATTTCCCCACAGCCTGTTCCCATTTGGAAAGGAGGACATTGTACCCTAAAAGATGCATGAAAACTTCACTTACTAACACATCTGTGGCATCACTGAAATCCCTGGCTGAGGAGCAGCACTGCTGAGCACTGGTAGTTCTAAAGCACCAGCAGCAGTGCAATAATGAAGAGAATCATTTCAGGATTTGTTAAGTTGGCGACCAGGAGCTCCCCCCATTGTAGGTTCTTCCAGCTAAAACAGCCTTTTAACTGATGAGGCATTCTTATTTCTATCAGCAGGCAAGCAGGTTCCTCTCAGCATTGAATGCACTTGTGCTGGTTACAGCCAAACCTTAGGGTTTAAAAAAAGAGAGAAAAAAACCGCACTGTAGTCAATCAAAAGCAAAAAAATTCAAATGTTCTCTTCCAAAAACAAAACCCACAACAAATCCCAGGAGTATGTAACCTCACTGCACCCCTCTAATCATCCCTCACTAACGCCTGGACTTCTTTGCTCCTGCCAGGTGAGTCTGTCCCTGACAGCCAAACGCATGGCCAAGAAGAACTGTTTGGTGAAGAACTTGGAAGCTGTGGAAACTCTGGGTTCTACCTCCATCATCTGCTCTGACAAGACAGGGACCCTCACCCAGAACAGGATGACTGTGGCTCACCTCTGGTTTGACAATCAGATCTACTCAGCAGACACCAGTGAAGACCAAACAAGTAAATGTGGCAATGGGGGATGTGGGAAGGGGCAACTCCTTGGTTCAGAGCTGGGGTGTTCACACCTACTGGCTGCCAGACTGGTGCCAATGGGAATGTCTTTTGTAGTTAAACCAGACGTGTCCTTCCACACAGATGTGCAAAGTCCCTTCTTAGACACGTAGAGATGAGAAAATAAGAATTAATATTTGAACTCCACTCACGGGAAGTCTGGAGGAGGTTCTGCTCCAGAGCTTTTTGCCAACAGTACATTTAGGAGGGAAATGAACAGAGAAACATAATCTGAACAGCTTCATCAGCACTGTTAACTGATGGATGGAACAGTTTGGGCCAAAATGTTTTTCTCTAAAAGAACCTGTCGAAAGAGCAACTTTTTTTCTGTAAATACACCAATTCTGCTGTTTCACCCTTAAGCTTCTACCTCTATCCCATAACGTGCTATAGGATGCAGTGATCCCACAGTGGGATAAAGGATGCCATGTGTGTTTTGCTTCTCCCAGCCCAGCCCTTTGATCAAACCTCTCCGTCGTGGACAGCGTTATCCAAAATCGTGACTCTCTGCAACCGGGCGGAATTCCGGCCAGGCCAGGAGAACCTCCCCATAATGAAGGTATTGCCCACTTCACACCACCTTATTTCCCTTCCTCTGAGGGGACAATTTGTTCTGCTCAGCTTTAGGAATCTCTGAGTTCCTACTGACAGTGGTATTACTGCTGTACACTCACAAAACACTTAACACAGGGGAAAAACCCCACGCAGCCAAGAGTAGGGAATTATAGAATCACAGAGGATCTTGAACTGGAAGGGATTCACCAATCCAGCTCCTGGCCCTGCACAGGATATCCCCAAGAATCCATGTCTGGGAGTATTGTCCAAACACAGCTGTGCCTGTGAGGGAAAAGGCAATACAGGCAGCAAGAATCTCTACACTAGTAATTACTATGCTATTAATTTAATATAGCAAAGGTAAACATGCCTTAATGAGTGTCTTTACACTTGACTGCTTGAAGGCAGTAAATTCCAGTGACCACACGACCAGAACATATCCCTGATTTCTGCTGTTTACTCACCAGTGCCTTCCTCAAAGTAATTTGGATTTGTGCCTCAGTTAGGTCACCTAGAACCGTGTCACAAAGCCACCACACAAACATGAGGGCGCCCACAAATCTGCTTTCCAGAATCAAACATTGATTTTCTCTTGGCTGTAGCTCAGCTCTAACTCCAAGGCCAGGCATTCCAAATCTTTACTGTCACAATTTTCCAGGACAACTTGAAGATTCATTGTAGATTCGTTGCTGCTAAAGCAGAAAACGTGTTATTGAATCATGGAAGTGGTAAAAAATTACTACAAAAAATATAAACTGTTCCTTCTTTTGTGCACACAGAGAGTCGTGGTGGGAGATGCCTCTGAAACAGCTCTGCTTAAGTTTTCTGAAGTAATTTTGGGTGATGTCATGGATATCAGAGCACGGAACAAGAAAGTGGCTGAAATTCCTTTCAACTCTACCAACAAATTCCAGGTGTGTTTCATTTTTTGGAATTCATTTTATGCCAGATTTTTCCCAGCTTAAACCATTTCTACCACTGGGTCTAATACAACTATTTGTGACCTGGAAGTCTTAATGCAGTAACTCAATGATACAGGAAATTTAAGTTATAATAGCAAGCATAATACATTTGATGGAATGTATGATATCCTCGTGGAAGAGAACATTACTTCCATGGAAGACTAGAAGCAAAAAAAGGCCATTTCTGCTCTTTCAACCCATTTCCCATTTGTGGCACACAGCTCTCCATCCACGAGACCGAGGACCCCAGTGACAAACGCTTCCTGCTGGTGATGAAAGGGGCCCCAGAGAGGATTTTGGAGAGGTGCAGCACCATCATGATCAACGGCAAGGAGGAACCACTGGACAGGGAGAAGGCAGAAGCTTTCCAGACAGCCTACATGGAGCTGGGGGGCATGGGAGAGAGAGTGCTGGGTGAGTCCAGCTCGAGGGGCTGCCTGAGAACTGCAGAAAAATGGGATTTAAAGTCTTGGCACACCCAGCATGTCTGGAAAAACTTTTGAGTGCACTGGAGTTCTACGGGCAAGAGCAAACCCTGGTGTCACACAGCAAAACTCTCCTCTTTCTCCCGCTGTGCATCACACCAACCCGAGTTTCTTTTCAGGTTTCTGCCACTTGTACCTGCCTGAAAACGAGTTTCCAGACACCTACCAGTTCGACACCGATTCCATGAACTTCCCAACCTCCAACCTGTGCTTTGTTGGACTCTTATCCATGATTGACCCACCCCGTTCCACGGTGCCAGACGCCGTCTCCAAATGCCGCAGTGCCGGGATCAAGGTAGGGGTTTTACAGGGAAAACCACAGTGATCCTACACAAATATTCAGAATAATAGAGTTTTTAAGAACTTCCACCATGTTGTCATGAAGTATCTTTCTAGCAGCAGTCACCAAAAATCTGAACATTCACTAATAACACCCTAGAACTGTAACTTAAAGAAACGACCAGAGGCAAAACAATTTAACTTAAGTGGGAATTCGGCTACAGGAACAGCACAGAACCCCAAAACTGGGAATCCAAATGTGCCAAAGCTCAGATACTGCTTCGTCAGACCCATTGCTAGAATACAGAAGCCATGCCAGCTATAATTACTTGTAAACAGAGTAAGGTGACAGAAGCAATCTTGAGAAGGCATCAGGACACCAGGGCTACACTTGCCAAGAATTTTTACCCACAGGAATCACAAATCTCAAAACTGTTCAGGTTGAATGTGAAACAATAATTCCCCTCATTTCACTCCGAGGGGATCCACAGGTAAACTTTCAGCTCCAAGCAGAGGTGAGATCTGCCTAAGTAAAGGAAAATCATCTTTGGAATTGCAGATCTCAGAGGAGATGAATCCCAAGCCTGATGAAATTTTCTATAGTCTGAAGACAGATCTGGCAGCTTTTCTTCAAGAAAAAAAAAAAGAAAAGGCTGTGTCTTATCTGTCAGGACACCTCAGTCACAAGGATCCATTTTAAGATGCAATATTCTAAGGAGCTCTCACCACTGAACATACCCAATATAGATCCTTACATAAAGGCTTCTTAATTCTGCATTATTCTCACCTTGCTGCCTGTGACAAGTTCTTCCTTTACAGCCCTGATAAAACAGCCTCAATAAGGAGAGTCAGAGTCCTGATGTCGACGTGGAGCTCAGTAATTACTGCTCATAGTCTCCCTTTGTTATTCACATAGCACAGCTTTCCCGCCCTGAACTGCTTCCCGGGCTTGCAACAATAGATATTCCACTTTATCTCACTCCAACCAGGGCATATCTGTTTGTCACTCACCCCAGTGCTTGTCCCTTGCCCAGGTTATCATGGTCACCGGCGACCATCCCATCACGGCCAAGGCCATTGCCAAGAGCGTGGGCATCATTTCAGCCACCAGTGAGACCGTGGAGGACATTGCCAAGCGCCTCAACATTCCCGTGGAGCAAGTCAACAGGAGGTAAGAGCAAACAGAGCACAGGGAATACCTGTGGGCTCGTTTTCCTGCTCCCTCCATAGTGCTTCTACAGCCCAGTTCTACAGCCACCTGCCTTCTGCTCTTCTGTTCCACGCCACGTTCCCAGTTGTGTCCATCCAATGTGCCATCCCTACCTAAACAACTCGTTGGCTCTCATCCTTTTTTCTCAAAGAAAACCCAGCAAATTATCCTTTACAGATCACGTTTGATTCACTGTCACAGCCCTTTTGACAAAACACACACACAAAAAGCAAAATTCAGAATCATGCTACCCAAGGACCATCAGTCCAAATTCCTCTTTCACTCACTAATTGTGAAAAAAAAATAGCATCACGAAAGAAGGATAAAAGCTCTTTACAGAAGGGATGTCTTCGCTTCTGCTGTCCCTCCCTCCCACTGAGAGGCCTCTTTAAAATGCATTTTCTGGCGCTCGGGAGGAAGCTTCAATGACTCCCCTCTGTATCCAGGTAACTGTAATTCACTCCGCATTTCTGCGGCGCCTTTCATTCAACACCTGCTGGTTAACAACAAACTGCTTCCGAAATCACCTCAATTTGCTGCTTCCCCACTATCCAGCTGCATTTACATGCTTTCCACGAGTGCACTATTTTTATCTGAGCCTTTTAATTCGAAAATTCACCCAGCTCTCTCCCCGGCTCTCGCAGGGAAGCTACAGCAGCCGTGGTTAATGGGATGGAGCTGAAGGACATGAACTCGGAGCAGCTGGATGAGATCCTGTGTAACCACTCCGAGATAGTCTTTGCTCGGACATCGCCCCAGCAGAAGCTGATTATAGTCGAGGGCTGCCAGAGGCAGGTGAGTAAGAGGTGGGGAAGGTTCCATGCCCTTCAGGAGCTTTCCCCGGGCATCAGCCGCGTGGTGAGAGGGTGGAAGGCAATTCCCAGTGCTCCCTGAGCTCTGTTTATACTCTTTGCACTGAGCAGGAACATTATCTAACAGATTGCCACCAACACTGCCTGGACAGAATCCAAGCCACTCAGATCCCTGCTACACACTCTGAACTCCTGCTGACAAAATGAGCTTTCCCTGGGCTTCGCTGGCTTGGAGCTGTAGCCAGGGTCTGGATTTTGGATCTAACTCTGAGAAGCAGCTGTGCTGCACATAAAGCCTCCTGGGCAGAGACTGCACTGCTTGGGAAGCTGCCTTCCCTCAGGAATCCTTTCAGCCCAGATAAAAGCAACACCCTGCCACATCCTCTCATTTTATCTCATGTGCTGCTGCCCACAGGAATGTTCAGGAGTGAGGTGGGTTAAGGGTGGACTTGGCAGTGCTGGGTTAACAGGTTGGACTCGTGGAACTTAAAGCTCTAGAGGATTTATGATTCTAAAGGTATGAACCCCACAAATTGTCACGGCGTGATTTATTCATGACCAAGCCTTATGGCTGGTGCTTTCAAAGGCTGTAAATCAACCCACAGAAAGCAAGATTTAAAGACAGTTTGTCCCATCCACGGGCAAAATTATGTAAAGGAGTGTGGAGTGCAGCCAGCACAGGAGGCAGAGAAATGACACCTACAGAGCTCTGTAAAAGATGCAAATTGCCATCAAAAGATCCTCCCTTCAGAAGTGACATCTTCCAGGTAGATGCTGTGAATCAAAGCTGATTCACAGTGCTGTGCCTGGACTTGGTAGAGAAGACATGGCACAAGACATTATTTTAGTTCTGTAGTTATGCCAGCACTAAGCTTTCCAATCAGCATTATCAGCTCGTGTGGTTTAAGCCTGGGCTGCTTTCAGGAGAGTGAGGGGGAAAAAAAAAATAAAAAAAGAGATGAAATGGAAAGATTTTATTTTTTGAATGGTCCCTGTTTGGCACGTGGTGGGTAAATGTGCTCTGCACTGCTCAGACACCCACACTCCTGGGAGATTTGGCTCTTTAAAGGATGGAAAGGAACACCCTCCCCCCTCAAAACTCAGTCTCCATGCTATGTTTAGTGCTTAGAGCTTATAAACCCTTCTGTACATGGCATTATTTATAGGTAGTGACACTGAGCTAAATCCCCCCAGGGACAGGACACTCAGCATTTCTATTAATCACTTTGTCAGGCTTTTTCTCACTTGGAACACCCTGTATTGCATCAAACCACAAACTCCTGCATCAGCTGGAGCAGGACCTTTAGCTGCAGGATAGTTCCACGGGAAGATAACAAAGAAGCTGAGCTGGATAAGCAGAGTTTTCCATCTTTTGGATTACTGGAGCAATTCTAGCCTAGGCTGGTGATGGCCAGAAGGTGTTGGGGTAGGATGGGAATGGGCTCTCACTCAGCAGTTACATAATTTACAATTAGGATGAAACCTGGCTGATTCTGTAGGCACTTCACAAAATAACCCCAAAAAACAGGACAGAGCAGGTTGTGTCAGCCAAATCTCCCACACATGACAGAGGTGAAGCTGGGTCTGCTCAGACAGGGATAGACCACACATATATATAGGTGGATATCTAAATCTTTCAGCTTATGCTCCACAGAAAGAAGCTATCAAATTAATTGCATTTGAAGTGCATCTAACTGAGGTGTCTACTCTGCAGGATGTAGGAAATCACATCCCTGAATTTTCCATATTTCTACTACAGTAGGAACCTAAATGACCAACTTAGACATTATCACACCGAAGTCCGAGGTTGCTGTCCAAACCCTTCCTACCATCCCCCTGATCCTTGTTTTCTGGGGGTACAAAGAGGATTCAGAACTTCCCATCAGCATCTCTTTTCTAGAGATGTAAAGAGTGTGCTGAGAGCAGCCTGTCCTTAGGGGCAAATAACCCTCATCTCCTCCCCAGCCCACATCTGGATCCTTTTGTGTGTTCCAGGGAGCAGTTGTTGCCGTGACTGGAGATGGAGTCAATGACTCCCCCGCTCTTAAAAAAGCAGATATTGGAATTGCCATGGGCATTGCTGGCTCTGATGCAGCTAAAAATGCAGCTGATATGGTTCTGCTGGATGATAACTTTGCTTCTATCGTCACAGGAGTGGAGGAAGGTAAAAATAATGTTGCTATCCACTTTCTGAGCTGAGAGCTGCTGTCACACAGCACTGGCCAGCCCTCCTGATCCTTCCCCCCTGCACTCACCTCCTCTTTTTTTTTTCTTTCTGGATTTGGAAATGTGATTTTGATATTTGGGGAAATTGGGAATTAATTCCACTTAAACACATGAAAGTCATCCCCCCTCTCACACAGCACTGATTTGCTACTGCTGTTTGATCAAGCTGCAGACAAAGGCACTTCCCAGCTTGTTCCCATTAGAATACAAGTAGTTTCCTCTACATTTTCAGTCTGTTATTTGCTCCACTCTCACCATAAATATTCTGGAGTTTCCATTAAAACCACAGCATGTTGTGGAATGGGACTTTTCCCCTCAAACTTTCTCATTGAAAGAGGGTTTTTATTACACTTGAATTTTCAGGAGGCTCTAAGGGAAGGTAGGTTAACAGTTAAAAAAAAAAAAAAAAAACAACAAAAACCCCCCCCAAAAAAACAAACAAAAAAACCCCAACAAAAATAACCAGTAAAATGCATGAGGAAACATATGAGGAAAGTCAACATAAGCAGTAAATGTTTTCACTTCGTTTAGCTAAAAATGGAAGTTTTTTCCTGGAAAACACTTAAGAATTCACTTTTACACAAGCTGTTTCCTTCTCCCCCAGGGCGCCTGATCTTTGACAACCTGAAGAAAACCATTGCCTACACCCTGACCAAGAACATTGCTGAGCTCTGCCCCTTTCTCATCTACATCATTGCCAGCATTCCAATGCCCATTGGCACCATCACCATCCTGTTCATTGACCTGGGCACAGACATTGTAAGTCATGTTTGAAGTCATGTTTAAAGTCATTTTCTGCTGGAATATCAAGCTAGAGGGGCTGGGTGCAAAGGGAATGCAGAACAAAGGAAGGTTTCCCTGCCTTACCCTGCAGCCCAGTAACAAGGTAGTGAAAGAGGAAATTAAAAGCAGCCAGGGGTAGAGAAAGAAGAGTAGAAAACAACAAACTACCTGCAGAGGGGGAGCAGGAAGCAAAACCTGTGCTGACAAGAACAATCAGAAGTGAGCAAATACCAGTGTTTCAATCAAGAGATCCCAGAAATCACTGCAGTTACTGCAGGGGATGAACACCAGATATTTCACCAGAGCCAAGGCATTTTAAAGGACCTTTAATGTTTTTTTCATATCCTCCAGCTCTTGCTGTTGTCATGGGATCACCAGACCTAGGAAACAGTCTCAGACTCCCCTCAAACCCTTGAAATGTGTCTAGGGAACGCCCCAGGGATCCTTCTGTCCCCTTTGGATCCTGACAAGGCAGCACACGTGAACAGAACCACCTGAGAACTGAAACTTTGCTGACAAACACCCGAGAAACGGGTCAGTGCTGCCCCCAGGGCTCTGATGGGTTGTTTCTGCTGCAGATCCCCTCCGTGGCTCTGGCCTACGAGAAAGCTGAGAGCGACATCATGAACAGGAGACCTCGGAACAAGAGGAAAGACCGGCTGGTGAACCAGCAGCTGGCTGTGTACTCCTACCTGCAGATCGGTAGGTTGGCCTCCCAGACACTGCCTGGCATCAGCAAAGCAAGACAGAGTCAAGCTGAGCCATTTTTTAAAAAAAACCAGAGAGCTGAAACTCGACTCCTTCCTCTGCAAATTTACCAATTCCCTTCTATTATTCAACACCACAACAGAGTTTTATCTACAGGGAGCACCAAAAGCCCTAAAATTACCTGTAGGCTCATGGCATGTTCCCCAGTGCCCCTTAATCTGGTTCTTCCTCACTGTAGCCCTTTGATTTTGCAGGTATCATGCAGTCAGTGGGAGCCTTTGTGACCTATTTCACCGTCTATGCTGAGCAAGGTTTCCTCCCTTCCACCTTGCTGGGTGTGAGGGTCAACTGGGAAAACAATGCCATCAATGACTTCGAGGATTCCTATGGACAGCAGTGGGTAAGGAAGCACTGAAAATCCCTTGCACTGCCTCTCCTTAAAAATTTTATACTCTCCCCAAAAATTCTATACTCTCCTCCGAAATAAAGAAAGGAAAAGGAGATTTAAATGCAATTATAATTAGTTGCCACGCAACGTTCCTTCAGGATACACTCTTTAGAGCTTCCTGGCACCCAGCTTTCATTCAGCCTCCATTCTTTCATTCATTCTTCTACAGTTTGCCCACTTTCTCATTCAGAGCCCCTGGAGATGCACCTTCCTCTCTGGACTGTGTGTTTAAGCCCATCCAAATCAATCACAAGCATCATCTCTCAGCCCTGCTCCTGAACAGCACCCTGCAAACAGTACTTTGCAGTCTCTGCCTCCCCCTTTCCCTCCTCACTCCCCCTCACTCATCCTGCAGAAATCACAAGGCAGAAGGTACTAATAAATGAACACAAACACCTCCTCACCCCCAGCTTGTGCTGCAGCCTCGTGACTCAAGCACCTGTTGGACTAAAACTGGCCCAAATCTGATCCCTGTGGATCTAAATCTGGAATAACTCTGCATTTACACCTTGGGAGCTGAAATAAACCCTCCTCTCGAGTTTTGCAGCCTCCTGCACGAGATGTGAGTGTCTGATAGAACACTCCCTGATTTTTCCTTCTCTTTGCAGACCAAATACCAGAGGACCTATCTGCAGTGGACAGGCTACACTGCCTTCTTTGTGAGCATCACCATTCAACAAGTTGCTGATTTGATCATCAGGAAAACACGGAGAAATTCCATTTTCCGGCAGGGCCTTTTCAGGTGAGTTTTGCAGATTTGACACGTGGGATCCCAGAATGGGTTGGGTTGGAAGGGACCTTAAAGCTCATCCAGTTCCACCCCTTTGCCACCTTCCACTAGACCAGGCTGCTCCAACATCCAGCCTGGCCTTGGACACTTTCAGGGTTGGGGCAGCCACAGCTTCCCTAGGCAACCTGTGCCAGGGCCTCCCCACCCTCTCAGGAAGGAATTCTTTCCTAATATCTAATCTAAACCCATGTTTCAAGTTATCCTACAGCTCATTTCAGAAGCAGGTCAGCTCAGTGATTTGACCCACTCACATTCAGCCTTTGCACAAAGACCAAGTCTGGCCTCAAGCAACCACAAATCTCAGACAAACATTTTATTCCACCTCTCCTCCCCCCCTTTCCTGCTTCAGGAGAGTGGTTTTCCTTTAAAGCAAGGCATTGTATTCATTATCCTGAAAATGTATCAGCTTTAAACTAACTCTCCATTCATTAAAATGCTCACTATAAAAAAAAAAGGGGGGGGGGAGTTTCCAGATTATTTTCTCAACTTCTTTATGTAGTTATCAACAGATAGCACGTTTGGAGCTCTCTGAGATAACTCCAAGCTCCAGAAGGGGAGATACCAGCTGGCCACCCTCTGCACCCTTCAATCCCATGGGAGCCAGGGAATTCAAAATATCTACTGGGACAGAGGCCACAGAGCAAAGCAGGCATTCACCCCGAGCATTCCCGATAGGAGGGCGATTTGTTCTCCATCCTTTATCTGCAGGGCCAGAGCCCACACCTGTGTGCACTTCCTGCTTCCATTAACACCTGAGTCAGGCTGGGCACACTCCCAGTGCACACTGTGTGTGCAACCCAAAGCTTGCTGCCAGCTGGGAATGCTGCCAGGGAAAGCAGAGCCCACCCTGTGTCTGCAGTGCCCACCTGGGGCAGCTCATTCCAGCTGTGCCCCCACGGACAGGGGGCTGTAACTCCTCCTCTTTGCTCTTCCCTGCAGGAACAAAGTCATCTGGGTGGGCATATTTTCCCAGATAGGAATTGCTTTGATCCTCACCTACGGCCTTGGGCATGTTACAGCCCTGAATTTCACACCTCTCAGGTGAGTTTTGGGGCTGCTGAACTTCCCTTGCCCTCCACAGACAAACACACCATGGGAGGAGGGTGCCCATGCAGCACCACTCAAGGGTAAATACCAAAGAATATTCATTATGAAGAGCAGAATGGGCTATTTCTTAACCAAAAAGGACATTAGTATCATCATTTCCACATTATTCCATAGATGAGCATCCAGAAACCTGCCTGTGTAAAGCAAACATTTTAATGATTTTTTTCCCAGCATCTCCAATGTTTTGGTGAGAATAGACAGCATTTAACTTTTATTCTAAATAGATCACTGTCAGATATGTAGAATGGACAGCATTTAACTTTTATTCTAAATAGATCACTGTCAGATATGCTCCATTTCTCTGCCATTTTCAGAGGCTGTAATGCCACCACCAGGCAATGTTTCCTTCTGAATAGGACCTGGAATAGATTCATTCAGAGGCTTTATAGGCACATTGGAGTGCTTAGTTAAGACAAAGGAAAGAGGCCCAGAAGTCCAGATTCTCTTTTAGTGACACCAAACAGCCCAGAGCCCCCAGAATGGCAGCTGGGTGGTTGTTAATGCCTCTGACTGAGACCCTCTTCCCACCCTGCCAGGTTCCAGTACTGGTTTGTGGCTGTGCCCTTTGCCATCTTGATCTGGGTCTATGATGAAATCCGTAAGCTGCTCATCAGAAGGTACCCAGGAAGTAAGTACAGGATTCTTCTAGTTTCATATTCTGATTTAATGTGTCTTTTCCTACCCTTTCACTCACATACCACCCCCCCCAGCCACTGCTCACAGGTGGCTGCTTAAAAATGAACCATTTGTTGCCAGTGATCACTTTGCCTTTCTGAGGGAAAAAAATAACTGATTTTTTTTTCTTCTCTCCCTTCTCCTCCTGCAGGTTGGTGGGACAAGAACATGTATTATTGAAACAGTCCTTACCAAAGGTTTTCTTCCTCCTCCTGGAGAGATTCTTCCCCACCTGACTCAGCCTCTGCTGCTTTCAAGTCCTGTCTGTGCAATATTAAGCATGGATTTGCCCCACGATGGGGTGAAGTGATTTCATTAGTTTAATGAAGAAATAAGGACTTTAGAGGTTGATGAATTACCTCCCACTGTACTGTAAAGCCAAGACTTGTCTAGAAATTGAAATACTACCTATTTTTGTAACGACTACAATCTCCCCTCGTTCAAAGACGAAGTTGGAGAGCACTCTGAGAGGAAAACACACATAAAGGACAAAAATATAAACAAACCAAAAGACAGAAATTCCATACAATCTAAGGCATTAATTTGCACTGAAGGTGTTGTTTGCTGATTTTGTTCTGGTGGAATTGAATTCCAAGCCAGTGCATACACAGATCTGTATTCCCTTACCAAGGGTAAAAGTGCTGTATAGGAACAATTTGATAATAAAACTTTTTCCAGAAAACTGTTCTCCACCTTATTTTCTTATAAAGACTGAGAAAAACTGAGTGGAACAGGGAAGGACCTGACCTCTGCCAGGTCACAGGGGAAAGAGGTGCCTCCCTTTACAGCCCAACATAATTGAAATACTTCTTTTGACAAATTGGTTTCGAAAATCAAGGCACAGAGCAGAAGATTTGAACACTTTGAGAGCCAAGATTCAATACTCCCTTTTCAAAGGCGACAATCTCCAAGGCAAAATAACCCTTGGGATGGGTTAGTTAGGAACAGTTAAAGCTCTCTTAGAAAAGAGAGCTTTAGTTAAAGCTCTTGAATAGGGTCATTTCAGCAGGAACCAGGAGGTCCCACATCTTGTTCAGACCAGGGCTCTACCAATTTTAAAGCAAATGATAAATGATATGTAATAAATTTCAATACAAGCCAAGACAAGCTTTAGGGAAGAAACAATGGCAGAAAGAGGAGTTGCATCAAACAGCCAGAGGGATTGCCAGGGAGGGAGAGACCAAGGGAAGAGCTGCAGGAAGGGAAGGAGTGTTTTCCAACCTAAAGCTGCCTGTCCAAAAGTCCACACCCTTCTGTTAGGAGCTGCTTTGCATTTTGTGACCTTCCTTCCTTAAAACTCCTCACCTTAATACCTGGCTGGGCATTGCACAGGGTATCAATTACACTGGGTATCAACAGAGGGACATGAAGAAGAGGAATTGCCAAGGAAGAAGGAAGAGGGACAGAAAACAATGAGCCTGTAAACAATGGGTGAGTCCAAATTCCAGATAAATGTGCTGCTTATCACTGGCAATGCAATCCTGGAGCACACCAACAACAGCAGGAGAGGTGCCAAGCTGACTCATTCCAACACCTTGGCACTTGCCAGGAGCCAGCACTGATTTGTTTTGTTTCCTGTTTAAAAGATGGGAAAGATGTGAGGAGAAATTCCACGGGTGAGCAACACGAGCTGCTTTCCAGCATCTCCAGACAGGCCAAAATATCTGTTCAGAGACAAGAGGAAACAAAGAGGAGAGGGACTCGATGGGAGGGGGTAGTTACTGCACAGAACCAGGAAAGAATATAATAGCTATGGTTGTTCTACTTCAAAAATAAAATATGTTTTCTTGAAACAACCTACAGAAAAAATGACTGGATAGGTTGTACAGAATATACAGGAATATGCAAGGCTAAAAGACAAAACCAAGAGCCACAGGAGAGGAGTTTCCCAGGATTCCAAGGCCAAGTGGCAGCTGTAACACTGGAACCTGATCTGGCTGCTTCTTGATGTTTCCAGGAACATTCTTCTGCCATATCACAAAACATCTCTGTCTGACACCTGCAGCCTCCCCACTGTCAGAGGGAACTTTGCTCTGGGATGGAAGAAGAGTTAAATAAAGAAACAGGAAGAAACAAAGCAACACAGGCTGGAGAAAAACTCAGCAGCAGAGGAGAAAAAAAGAGAAGTTCTGAGAGGAAAACTTAAGAGATGTGATCCATCCCTTTTGGCACCAACATATGCTCCTCAGAGAGGAGCAAAAGAATTCTGCTCTTCTGTCATAGCAGTGTCTGGAACCCACCAAATGTCTGTCTCCACGTCCCCTCTGTGCAGGAGTGAGTGGGGAGGAATGGCAGCACCACATTTCCCACCTGTATCATCATTTTAGGGGGAAAAAAAGCAACAGAAAAAAACCCAAACCAAACCAATAAAAAAAAAATAAAATAAAAACTGAAGGGAGCTGATGATCTGGAGCCCTTGAACCCTGCAAGTGGTTCTGAAACAGTTTACTCTCCTACCTGTAGAGTCAGTTTTGCTTCTAACAAGAATTGCCAACAAATGCTCCTTTGTGTTGCCAGTGTTGCTTAGTCACAGCTCTCCTCAGAGGCTGAGATTAGTCTGTGTGCACCCTGTCAGCTCTGCAGTCTGTGACTCCATCACACCAGCATTCCTTTGAGAGACAAGATGTTCTCTGCAATCTGTTTTACCATATCAATGCCTGAGCAGAAAGCTCCAATCAAAGCAACTGAAAAGACAAGTGAAGAAATCAGAATATCGACATCATTTTCCACGAGGGCAAAGCCTAAAGACAGAGCCACTGTTTCTAAACCTCGGAGCCTTCCCAGTATTACAAAAGAAAAACAGACAAACAGGTCACAGGCATGGAAAGAATGAATCCTGCATTTGCTCCTGGCATTTGTGTTGGTTTGAACCAGCAAACCTGGGAACTGCTGCACAGGACAGGGCAGGTCATTGCATGAGAGCAGAGCAGGGACCTCCCAGCCCAGTGTCACCATCCTCTGTTGACATCCAAGGCATGAGGGTTTGGGATCTGATGCAAGACAGTGTGGAACTCAACCCAGGCCTCTTTTAACCCCATAAACTCAGAGAGCACTGCAATGTCCACAAGGAGAAGGTGGCACAATCCAGCTGCAAACTTCAGCAACTCAAACACACACAGAAGCATCTTCCCTCCCATCTCATAATGACTTTTTAAGTAGCAGCATCACACATCAATTCTCACACTTAGTGCTGCATCATTTATTCCTTTTAATCTGCTTTGTCTCCCATTTGTGAGCAGGTTCAGGATGTTCACCATGGCAACTTCGTGTCCTCGTGGCTCCCAAATGAAAAATGTTATTGGGATTCAGTTAAATTCCAGATCTGGGCAGAATACACTCTAATCCAGGCTCTGAAAAACTGAGCTGGCAAGCTCCTTATATTCTATCTGGGAAGGAAGATAATTTGCTTTCCTGGTCAGGTCTCTGTATGGCTTTTTCACTCAGCCTTGCACAGCCTGTATCACACAGAGCCTCCAGTCTCACGTAGGTTTATTATTACCCCATGCACACCCTCATTATTATTATTATCATTTGAGGGGTGAGAAAACACACAGGAACAAATGAATCATGAGAAATACTTCTGTGCTGGGTGCTAAACCAAAAAGAAAATGCTATTTCCTCCACTGAGTTCTTTCTTGTAAATGCCCTGAGTCAGTTCTGCAGCCTCAGCAGGAACAAACACTGCTCTCAGTCTCAGTAACTTGTTGTTAAGATATGCAATGGAGAGCAGCAGATTTTGAACTGTGAGATAATAGACCTTCAAACAGGTTGTTTCTTTTTACTACAATTCCACTAAGCATGCCAAGAGTTAACTCACTAACTCATAAACTGAGAAATCCTTCTTCAACACAAAACCCTGCCTTCTTGCTCCAGCCTCAGCCAGCCTGGACAGGTCTGATGTCCCCACTGATTACACAGAATTTCACAGCTTTCCTTTACCTCCTTCTGCTGAACACAACAGCTTCTCTGCTCGGTTTTCTCTGGTTTGAACTGGCTCTCAGCATCTCCCCGCCACCACCTCCTAAAAATCCAAACACTCTCTCCCCTTTCACCTCTGTGTCACTGACAATTCCTGCATTCTGGGCAAGAGCAGGCAAAATGAAAAGGGAGAGCTGGCTAAAGGCAAAGGGTTACTCTGCAGCAAAGGGGAAAGGGAGAATTTAAGGATGGCAAAAACTGTTGTGCAATGCAGTGTGTGAAAGTCTATCCAGGCTGGCAAGTTGTACTGGTTGCTTTGTCGTGAGGTCTGTCTCCTGACCCTCAAAAATTTATTCATGGCAAGACTTAATACTAGAATTAGGCAGTGGGATTTTAGATCCTGCTTCCTAACACACAGATTTTGAACAGTTATTGAGCAATTTATCTTGGAGTGAGTCAAGCTTTAAGATGGTAACACATAACAACACCTGCCTTCCACCATAACTGTGTGAGAGAGAAAAGTCCTTATGTGTGGCAGGGCTGGATTTTCCCTTATGCTCAAACACCAAACTGATTTTGGCATTAGCAGAAGAGATATGTTTAACACTGAAGTGTAGTATGGAGACTTTTCAGTGATGACTGCGCAGAGCATAGTCCCCCTTTCCTGTACATCAGTTTTGCAGACCTCATGTAGGACGCTAATTCCCTCTTCAAATAACTAAGTAGGAATTCCCTGTATTACATTTTCAACCACAGAATATGATTTAAGAGCTGAAGAATTGATTGAGAGAGCCTGAGATGTCAAGACTTGAGTGAAGACTGGAGGGCTACAGTGAAGAGTTGTCAGAGTGCCTTCAGTGCCACCAACTCATAGGGAGGATCCACATTTTGAAACAGAAACTGCAGCCAAATTATACAGTGAAAACTCTTCTCATTACCTTTTCTAATGCACCACCTCTGTGCAAGGAACCTCTTCGGCAGACACCAGGACACTGCTGGCCCAGGAAAGAAAAATAGAGGAAACAAAGCACAGAAATTCTTATGGTGACGCAAACATTTGCAGGGAACTGCAGCTCAACACCTGCTGAAAATAGAAATGGTGCTAGGAAGGCACACCCAACTCACAGCCCATCTATTCCTGTAACTCAAGAGATTACTGCTGCTGTGCCACCACACACAGAACTCTGGGATGGCACCTCCTGAGGGCAACCAGCTCTCTGTGATGCAGATTCTCAGTAAGTTCACATCAACGCTCAGGCAAACCACATGGAGAGACACAAAACTGCACCAAAAACGTGATTATGGTGCCAAATAGCCCAGAAATTTCTTTAGAATTACAAAATCCCGATTTGCAGAGACCCCAACCATCTGACCCAGCCCCATCCTCCGACCACTCCCAGAATTCTGGCTGCAGAATTCCTTCTGATACCAGAGACCTTCACAGGGGAAAACACCCTCCTCCTCCTCCTCCTCTAAGTCATGCCTTGTTACACCTGCCTTAACTAAGTCAGTTCGTGAACTTTCTCCAAAACATTATTTTGCAACGACTGAAAAAACTAGTCCAGACCCACCAGCACGAAAGACCCCCCCGGGAGCAGATATTTTCTGGCAGCACTTGCAGAGCCCACAATCGGCTCCATCCATCGGATTCCAGGCAGCAGCACCACAAAGCACGGGGCACTTTGCATTCCTAATCACAGTTAGGACCTGCTCGGACCTCAACTGAGCCTCTCCTTCAACTCCACCTCGGGAGGTTTATTTTCG